AAACTATAGGCGAAAATACTATGATAGAATAGAAAGTGTTTGATAAGGTAATCCATAAGAGTCAGTTTGGTGTGCCAGGTAGGTCAATGTATGTTTGGTAAAGGGGAATATCAGGGATTTGTTGAGGAATGCGGGGTGAGGGGGGTGGGGGGTTTTGGCTTTAGACTGGCGAGCCCCCTTTTGATAGTGTGGAAAGGGAGGTTCTGTGGAAATTTATGAGATGGCAGGGTTTTGGAAATGAGGTCATCATGTGGGCCTGTTCGTTGTACAATGGAGCGGGTTTTAAAGTACAAATTAATGGCAAGTTAGGTGTTTTCGTACACATGCCACATATAAACTAAATAATGTAGATCTTAATATTACGGATTGCGAAAAAGATTTAGGAGTTCTGGTTAGCAGTAATCTGAAACCAAGACAACAGTGCATAAGTGTTCGCAATAAAGCTAATAGAATCCTTGGCTTCATATCAAGAAGCATAAATAATAGGAGTCCTCAGGTTGTTCTTCAACTCTATACATCCTTGGTTAGGCCTCATTTAGATTATGCTGCACAGTTTTTGGTCACCGTATTACAGAATGGATAAAATTCTCTGGAAATGTAAAAAAGAGGATGACAAAGATGATCCCATGTATCAGAAACCTTCCCTATGAGGATAGACTAAGGGCCTGAAACTGCACTCTCTAGAAAAAACGTGGGAATTGGGGGGGATATGATTGAGGTTTTTAAAAAATGGAAGACGGGAAAATAAATAAAGGGGATGTAAATAGTGTGCTGAAATATATCTAGCCTGACAGGACTCGCGCAATGGTTTTAAGTTGGAAAAATTCAGATTCAGGAAGGATATAGGAAAGTACGGGTTTTGGGTTTAATAGAGTTGTGGATGAGGGAAAAAAACTCCCAAGTACCGTTATAGAGGCCAGAACGTTGTGTAGCTTTAAAAATGGGTTTGGGGATAAATAATGAGTAGATGTGGGTGGGTGTGAGTTAGACCTGATAGCTTGTGCTAACGGGTCGGTTGCCGTGTTCCCCCCTTTAAATCAATGTGACCTGACCTGACTAGGTTGGGTGCATTGGCTTAAGCCGTAGGAGACTTGGACCTGCCTCGCATGGGCCAGTAGGCCTTCTGCAGTGTTCCTTCGTTCTTATGTTCTTATGTTCTTATGAGCAGGGGCATTCGTCAGGGATGCCCCATGTCTCAAATGCTTTTTGCTTGTATACAGGACCCTTTTTACTGGGTTGTTTGTGGGCGGGGAACAGAGACATCGTGGGGTCCGAGTAGTGGTCGACCGACCCTTGTGGGTTATGTAGATGATACTACTGTGTTATTACGTTCACGGGAGCAATTGGGTTTTGTTGGGGAGACTTGTTGACATATTTGGCAAGGCTACGGGGATGTGTGTTAATAGAGAAAAATCGAAGATTATGGAGTTGAGGGAGTGGGTGGGGGATGGGGTGGATGCAGAGGGTGGACTGTGGTTGATTGTATCACTATATGTGGGTGTTCATTATATGGGGGAGGTCGATCAAATGAGGCGTGCAATTCGGTGAGGGTTGTACATAGTGTCTTGGGGCGTTTTTAAATAGTCTACGGCAGCGACATTTAACCCTGCATCAGAGGGGGGTTTGGTCATTAATGCCCTGCTTTATAGCAAAGTATGGCACATTGCTGCACTGTATCCTCTGTTGCAGGGGGACGTCAAACGTCTTTTGCATAGAGTTTATCGATTTTTGTGGGGTTCAGGATGCGATTGGCTCACAAGAGCGGTGGTGGAGACACCAATGCATCAGGGAGGGTTGAGTCTCATTCCTCTAGAGGCTCGTGTCATGGCATGTTACGTGAAGCGTCGTTTTCTCCGACTGGGTGGGATGCATGGTGGGTTAAGTGAATTGTATCACGACCTGCACAGGTGGTGGAGAGGGAGGAATTTAATTTGGTGCAACGCGATGCTTCGCGTATTATTGAACATGAGGGACGTGCGCTGTGTAAAATTATGTACCTTAGAAAGGGCGGGTAGGGGGGTTTAGTCGTGGTGCGAGTTGAAGGAATGTATCCCATGTATGCGTGGGGTAATATATGGAGGCGAGTTCAACAGTTGCATCTGCCTGCTTAAGTACGGGAAGTGGTTTTTAATTTTTTACATGGAATCTTGCCGTCCAGGGTGGTGGTGTATAATAGGCGTTAGGAGGAAAACTGGGGTTGTCCGGCGTGCGGGATGGAGGAATCTGCTTTTCACGTTGTGTATTTCTGTGAGACTTTAGGAAAGGTACGAGAGTGGTTCAGTAGGGTTTTTGCGTTTGGTAGGGGGGGAGGTTTGTCGGTACTCCGGGCGTTTGAGCTTTGATGTAGGTGGGGTTGACTTGCTTGTACAACTTGCGGTGTCGTACGTTGTGGCCGATTATATTTTCGTGTCATGGGCTATGAGGGACGTTGTGGTAACAGTAGAATTAGGGTTTTGCGGGGACGATTTATTTGGACAAAATGTCGAAATAGGTTGGTATATGAGGGGAGATGGGAGAGACTTCCCGCCTGAATATAAAGCCTTGGAGTTACGAGATTTGAGATAGTTGTGAGTGTTCAGTGGGTAATCTAATGGGCTGGTCAGCTGTGTCTAATTGTGTTTGTCAAGTGCGTGAATGTTTTGTGCTCTCCTAGTTTATGTGCGTCTCCTATGTAACGGTGATGACGATATAACTTACGTGCTTTGTATATACAACTTTTAGGAATGTTTCTCGTCATTTATGCCTCAATTACAAGTCATTGGTGTGCATTTTGTATATGGTGTGCTTCCTAGCACAGTTGAACGTTTTCTTATTTCCGTTTATACTTTATGCCGTGTTCGTGTGCTTTTCAATAATATATGTATCTATGCAAGGGATCGTTTTTTCTGTAAGCTGTGATGGAGCTTGAACTATATATGGAGGCAGCATTTTCAATGTGTGCATCTCGCAGTGTATAAGTTCACTTATAGCTGCTGGCATTTGTGTTTATTGAGATGTCAAATATCACAGTGTTGTTTCGTTTTGTTTTTATTAGATATTTTCATTGTTGTGAATTGTAGCGTCATCCTGTTCCACCTTTGAACTGTAGTGTCTATCCTTAGTCCATGATAATAACACCGTGGTAGTCGCCCAAACTAACGTATTGTTGTGCTCTTTAAGGCACCTGAGTTCTTAGATTAAGTCTTGGATACGTTGTGTGTTGGCAGGCGGAAGCCACGCCTAGTTATGTGTCAGATGAAGTATCATGTTGTATAATACGTGATTGCTTGTGTATGTGTGTAATTCTGTGTGCTTGTTTTTGTCACATTGGTGATTTGTATAGTGTTTATATTTTCCTGTGTTTTGAATTTATTACTTATTATATAATAATAATCTAGTTAGTGCCTGGTATCTCGTTGACATATTATTTTATGCACCCATATCTATTTTGTACCTAAGTTTTAAATAAAATATAAAAAAAAATGCTGCATTTTATTCATAAATATGATTTAAAGAAACATATTTAATGTTTCATTCTCATTTTCTAATAAATTTTAGTGGTGTCAAGTACGCATTTCTCATAGCATGAATATATTCCAAAGTTTACATTGCTAAATATATTACATATACATTAGTTTCTACCAAGGATCAGGTTTAATGTTTCATAGGAAATTAATTTATATGCATAATTAACATTAATATTATTAATAATAATATCAGCAGCAAAATGGAGAAGCGTTAAACCCTTCTGGGTAATACTACACTTGGAAAATTGAAAGTATTATATAACTGATGCAAGAAACGAGTGGATTAGCTATAATTCTTCGATTAAGAGCCTACTCTCAGCGGGTAAACATTCGTGTCGGTATTAATACTGGGAAGAAAATGGTATGGGCCAGCTGGCAGCACCTCACTCAGTCCTTGTTTACATTCCACAACGCTAGTGTTGCTAGTCTGGCTGACGCTACGGTGTCTCCGTATTACATTCCTTGAGTTCAATTTTAAGCCCCAAGTTACCGCATTGTTCCTCTCACACTAAGCAACACACTACCATCAATCTAAGGAAGGTAAGTGAATATTAGTTAGGTTGGTGAACTAAATATAAAACCTATTGACTACTAAGATGGTTTAATGTCCAGTGTAATGGGGAGCCCATCACTTTGGTTTCATCAGTAAAATATCTGGGAATCCCCTTTGACCCATGCATGTCAGGAGAATTGATAGGGAACAGTGTAGTAAAGAAAGCGAATGCCAGACTGAAGTTCCTCTATAGACAAGCACAGTGTCTACCTACTGAGGCTCGCAGGACCCTATGTCTAGCCCTTATAAAGTGTCATATGGATTACGCTTGCTCTTCATGGTACTCTGCCTTGACAAAATAAAAACTGAAAGATAGACTGCAAATCACCCAGAACAAAAATTGTAAGATTCATCCTGGACCTGGGTCCAAGAGAGCATGTAGGCCAGAATGAATTACAGCAGTTGGATATGCTGAATGTTGTTAGGTAAGACACATATGCAACAGTTAGGTATCTTTATTTCGAGAAATAAAGATACCTAACTGTTGCATATGTGTCTTACCTAACAATCTGTCGGTATTTATACCATTTTAATGTTCATGCTGAATGTTGAAGACAGAGTAAAACATCTGAAGCTAAATCATGTTTATAAAATTGCTTACAGTGTCCAGAATATCTTGCTGTCAATTTTGTCAGGGTTGGGAACCAAAGCAATCATAGTACTAGGGGGAGAGAGCACAACTTTGTAGTACCCACAGTCAGTGGCCAGGCTTCAAACACCTTTTATTGTACAACAATAAAGGAATGGAACAGACTGCCCGCACATGTCAAATCCAGTCATAGCATGAACCAGTTCAAGAAGAGTGCCAAAAGGTGTCTGATGAATGTAGCTACAGAAAGGGAGGGGAATGATTTTTTATTTTTTAGCTAACATACGTGTAAATTTTACCTTATTCCTAGTAATGACCCTCGTATTGTAGATAGTCTTAATGACCCTCGTGTAGTAGATAGTCTTTTAGTATATTAATAAGATGTTATCTTCATTATAGAATAATAAGAATCTATTAAAAACCTTTATATTATAATAATAAGGTCAAAGGACCCCAATGGAAATAAGTCATTCTGTACTTCTTGTAAATGTTTTCCTTTGGAGGATGTTTTTAACGTTAATTATCACTTCAGGAAAAAACTGTCACTATTATTTAGTGAAAAATCTATTCGTTAAACTGTTATAAGATAAGCAGTGATATATGGTAAATCCGTCGCCATAAATCTTGTTGTTTTAATATAATCTACAAGAGAAGATTGATAAAAGTTTATACAAGTTAGGAATAAACAATACTGATATCAGTGACAGTTTTCTATGACTAGAGACACGGATATTTATTAGCGATCATTGCATATACTTCACTGTATATTAAAAGTATCTTATACGTAAATGAGAAAAAAATATAATGTTGCAAAATTATGATGGTTTAATCAAGGAAAACATATCAAGGTATTACGTGTATTCAAGCTAATTTTAAGTTAGCTGGCGAGGGTTGGCCACTCTGCCGGACTTGTTGCAACCCCTTATAATAATATATTTCAACCAGTACATGTACAAAGTATACAGACCATAGTTGACATCATGACCTTTCAACATAATGTACAAAGTATACAGACCATAGTTGACATCATGACACACACTACTATATAGGAAGCCGCTTGTTATGCTGAGCATTTCCCGCAAATTACCCCTCACGGAAGGTTCCTTGATGTTGGTGAGTTGCTCTTGATTTAGGGAATTGGATCTGTGCTCCAGTCCCCTGAATTTAGCCTGAATGCCTTCCACATCCCCCCAGGCGCTGTATAATCCTACGGGTTTAGCGCTTCCCCTTGATTATAATAATAATCCCGCAAATTAGGTCAGTTTTGTCCCAGTATGCGACCCACACCAGTCGAGTAACACCAAGGTACCCGTTTTACTGTTAAGAACGTAAGAACATAAGAAGGAACACCGAAGCAGGCCTACTAGCCCATGCGAGGCAGGTTCAAGTCTCATACCGGCTTAAGCCAATACCCCAACCTAGTCAGGTAAGGTCACATTCACATAAGGAAGGAGCACGGCATTTGACCTAGTAGCACAAGCTAGTCAGGTCCAACTCACCCACCTGCAACCACTCATGCATTTATCTAACCTATCTTTAAAACTACACAACATTTTAGCGTCTATAACTACCCGCGAGTTTGTTCCACTCATCCACAACACTGTTACCAAACCAGTGCTTTCCTATATCCTTCCTGAATCCGAATTTTTCCAACTTAAATCCATTGCTACGAGTCCTGTCTAGGCTAGATATTTTTAGCATGCTATTTACATAAGAACATAAGAAAGGAGGAACACTGCAGCAGGCCTGTTGGCCCATACTAGGCAGGTCCTTTACAATTCATCCCACTAACAAAACATTTGACCAACCCAATTTTCAATGCTACTCCAGAAATAAGATCTGATGTGCAAGTCCCACTCAAATCCAACCCCTCCCACTTATGTACTTATCCAACCTAAATTTGAAATTACCCAAAGTCCTAGCCTCAATAACCCAACTAGGTAGACTGTTCCACTCATCAACTACCCTATTTCCAAACCAATACTTTCCTGTGTCCTTTCTAAATCAGAGTGGTGACGTGTACTTAGCTCAGTGGTGACGTGTACTTAGCTCAGTGGTGACGTGTACTTAGCTCTGTGAAGACCTGTTTGTGTGCTCTCTGTGAATCTGAACCAGGATGCCCTCTCTTGAGCAACTTTACCAGCAGCTGAGAGAAGAGCTCAGAGTTGCTAAGCTGGAGATACGGCGATTAACGGAGGAGAACAAGAGGATTCGTAGTAATCCTCCTGTTGTGAGTCCCCAGGTTAAGAGGGGAGCTTGGTCAGTGGCCGGGCAACATGGAACCAAGCTGAGGATCAAGAAAACGGTTGGAGAGGCAGAAACAACGAGAAACCATAAGACTACCGTGGAAACTTCCAACCAATTCTCCGTGCTACCTGACGAATGTGAGTGTTCTACTGGGAATGCCACAACGAGCACCAAGGAAGCATTGGCAGACGTGAGTGAGACATCCCTAGAAACCCCAATAAAGACCATCGAGAACGTCTTGACGAATTCCACAAGTGGTGTAATGCTACCTGACGAATGTGAGTCGACTTCTGGGAGCATCACAAAGGACGACGCCAAGGAAGGTAAAAAGCATTGTTGATAAATTAGACACATGTGCAACTCTTGGGTATCTTTATTGAGGAAACGTTTCGCCACACAGTGGCTTCATCAGTCCATACGTAGGAGAAACTTGAAGAACAGGAGGAGAATGAGGTAATCAGTCCCTCAACCTTGAGTCGATGTGTTCAGTCCATCAATCTTGAATAGAATAGGTATTCTATTCAAGATTGATGGACTGAACACATCGACTCAAGGTTGAGGGACTGATTACCTCATTCTCCTCATGTTCTTCAAGTTTATCCTTTGTATGGACTGATGAAGCCACTGTGTGGCGAAACGTTTCCTCAATAAAGATACCCAAGAGTTGCACATGTGTCTAATTTATCATGTCGGTTCTCTGAACCATTCATCTACAAAAACATTGTTGTTGTTGGGGATAGCCAAGTTAGGTACATGGATAGGGCATTCTGCTTGAAGGATAGGAGTAGGAGGCAGAGAGTGTGTTTTCCTGGGGCTGGGATGAAGGATATTGTTAGCCGTCTGGATGACATCATGAGAGGTAATGTGAGCAATCCTACTATCTGTCTCAGTGCTGGAGGCAACGATGTTGGCAGACATAGGAGTGAGGACCTGATTAGCAGGTATAGGTCAGCAATAGAAATAATTAGGAGTAAGGGTGGGAACCCTGTCATATGTGGTATTTTGCCAAGGAGAGGAGTTAGAAATGAATGGTTGTCCAGGGCAATTGGTGTCGATTGCTGGCTGGACAAATACTGTAAGGAAAATGCGGTAACATTCATTGACAACTGAGACCTCTTCTATGGCAGAAATGACATGTATGCCAGGGATGGGGTTCACTTATCTAGGTGTGGGGTGGGAGCACTGGCCAACGCAGTGGAGGGAGCTGTTAGGTCTTTAAACTAGGAATAGTTAGTGGTATAGGTTTTTGCGGGAAAACTGTGGAGTGTCAGGGGAGTAATATGAGTACTAGGAGAACTAGTAATAGGCAAAATGAGGTGGATATTGGAAAGCCAGTGGCACTAACTGACAAGGACAGTAATAGGTTTAGTGGAATAACAGAAAGGAGCAGGAAGGGTAAAGAGAGAGGAGGGTCTTTAAGTATTTATTACACAAATAGTCGCAGTGCTAGGAATAAGATGGACGAGTTGAGACTAGTTGCTAGTGCAGGTAACATAGATGTATTTGCCATTACTGAGACGTGGTTTAATTAAAAAAGTCGGGACATGCCTGCAGAATGTCACATTCAGGGTTTTAAATTGTTCCAAGTAGATAGAAGTATCGGAAGGGGGGTGGGTGCCATTGTATGTCCGAGATCGCTTGAACTGTTGCATAAAAAACGGGTATTAAGTCTGAAGTAACACATACAGAGTCTGTTTGGATAGAATTTTCAGAGGGGCATGAAAAATTAACTTTAGGTGTGATATACTGTCCCCCAAATTTAGATAGGACCAGGGAGACTACTATGGGAGGAAATTGTTAGGGCCACAAGGCACGATAATGTAGTAATTCTAGGAGACTTTAACTTTAGTCATATTGATTGGAATTTCTTGACTGGGAATTTAGAATCATAAACGACTTCTTGGAAGTAGTTCAGGATTGTTTTTTTTGAAGCAGTTTGTGACAGAACCTACAAGGGGTAATAACCTGCTTGATTTAGTTCTGGCAAACAATGAATCCCTTGTTATAATTTAGAAGCTTTCAGAGGAAACTGGGTGCTAGCGACCACAAATCAATTACATTTAGAATTGAATGGAAGTATGATAGTAGGGATAACTCAGTAACAGTCCCAGATTTTCGCTTAGCAGATTACGATGGGCTTAGAGAACACTT